AAAATATATATATATATATATATATATATATTTTCTATATTCAAAAACATGAATTTGCTTTTCTCTAGACAATTCTTTTGCTAGGAGATCTGGATTAGGTTCATATGAAAGTTTGCCCTTTTCTGTTAAGTCTTGTATAGGCTTCAAGTTTTTAGCCAGATATGGCATTTAGAGATAGCTAGTTGCATGCATGGATGGATGAGACACCCTAAGTAAAAGCTTGGAGGAAGTGAAGTATGGATATGATGGATAGAGCATGATGCGTTGCACTTTTTTGAAGTGGAAATTACGTTTCCTATAATATGATTTTTTTGGTTGCCAAGTTTCTTATAATATGATTAATTGTACAAATATATCAAAATGTGGCTCTAAATTGAATGTGAATTATGTGGGAGCAAATATCTTGGAGCTCTAATCGCAAGGCGCTACGTGGATAACAAGAATATTTCCTAGGTGCTATGTGAAATCCCTAATTGAATCAATTTCTCCATTTAAGGGAAAGAATAATTTCCTTCCTAATAGGAAAATATTCTTTGCAAAACTCTACCACACAAGGAGTACTTACCATCAATGAGTATGAGAAGAAAGTGAATGACTCCAATTTTAGACTTTCACATATATGTTTACTAACACATAAGGATGGGGAAAAAATACTCACATACCCTTAAAATCAGGAATCATATCAACTAGATGGAAGGATAGGTGATTTGATTCTCATTCATGCTCTCTCTTACTGTCTTCCTTATACAACTTTACAATTTCTATTAATGTGCTAATTCCATATTTTCTATACCAATTCCTTACTTCCCACATTCCTAAATTCCTTGATTCCTTACTTCCCCAATTCCTAAATTCCTCGATTTCTTATTTCTCTCATTCCTGATACGTAAACATGCAAGAGTGTTGGGTTTGTGGTATGGACTGAATTATGCATGTTGGCTTTGCTAGTGTTTGTATGGGGGAAATTTTTTGAAGGCATGTTGCGTTTTCTTAAAAATGATGAGAACGTTAATTAAAATGTGGGGTGTATTTAAAATGCAAGGTGAACTCAGACTAGTGGGAAAAGGTCTACACTTGCATATCAGTGATCTCATGTTCGAACCCCCATAATATCTTGACAGTGTGTGTATGTGAGAGAAATCTCCCTTCCCTTTGTAGTTTAGACTATCGCTTGTATTGAAAAATATATATATATATTGTATTTAAAATGCGAGGTGAACTCAAACAAATGTTGGATTTAAGTAGAAAGAGCCAGGCTCCCGACTATCGCAATCTTCACCAAATTTTTTTTTTTCTCGAATGTTCCTTTCTCTCTCCAAAAACCCAGCAACCCAAAGATCCTTTACCACCTGATTTCCTTTTTGGACTCCCAGATTCTCATAGTCAAAACAAGGAATCTTTGATTCCCGGACATCTCTCCCCCCAATATGTTGTGGAGAGTTTTCCCTTCCAGCTTTTTTGTTGGCTTTTGTTTCTCCTTGCTTTGTGCAAGGTTTTGTTTCTCTCCCTAGCCCTAGCTTGGGATAGGATTTCTCCATGTTTGTTGCAGGGTTGTGTACCATTAGGTTCATCTTCTCTAAGGCTTAGGGGTTACTTTTCTGGAGGTGAAGTCATTCAACTCACTGGATATCTTTGATTTTTGGTGTTGGAGACCTGGTCGAGAAGAGATTGTGCTTGGATACTTTCTTAAATGTTGGGAGTGTTGGAGAACTAAACCAAGATATGCATTCAAGAAGTTTCAATATGCTATTATGTTGAGTCTTTTCTTATTCTCGGATTTAATAAGTTCATGTATAAGTGAATTGAATAAATTATCAATTCAGTTTTATATATTAGTGGGTTGATGAAGAGTCTTTAATTATTAGGAAGTATTAAGATGCGAGAGTGGGTTAAACGGTTATGATAAGAGAAGTCTTTAAATAGGTCCTTTATCATTGTATTGGGGTCTTTTTTCGTCGGAAGGCTTGGCCGAGCTTGTTGATTCTTAGACCGTCATAGAGTGGTGAATCAAGTCTTTGTTGCCCTTTTTTCCGAGTTAGCGAGAATTAGGCTCAAAACATCCCGAAGGAGAAACAAGTCCTAGGGGATTACTTTGTTGTGTTAACAGTATTGTTACTGAGAAAGAGTAGTCACATGTTTAGCACGTGAGTGTTAGTTAGAATACTTAGAGGAGAAGAAAGTTAGTTAGTTATATAAAGATGAGCTTAGGCTCTGCTTAAGAAAAAGGTTGCATTGTAACAGATTTGAGATAACAGAAATTAAACAGAGCTCTTTTCTTCCTCTCTCTCCCTTTGCTTTCTCTGTCTGAACTCAAACCCTAGATTCTATTTCTCCATGGTTATCATGGTATCAGAGCTTCGGCTCTTTGATTCCTGATCCTTTTCGCTTCCGCTCCACTATATCACAATCAATTTCTGAGATTCCGGCTCGACTCGAAATTACATCAATGGCAGTTCGTTGGATGAACACGCCTCTTTCCAGTCTGATTTTATTTCTAGCGATTCTGCAAGTGTTCTTCGCTAACTTTCTTCGTGCATTGTTCTTCTTGACACAGTGATCTCCGATATGATGTTTCTGAATTCAATTGCTGTTTACGCATGATACAATTTTATTAGAAGCACGAAGCATATTCTGTATTTTTGTTTTGGAGCACGAAGCTGATTTCTCTGCATAATTGAAGCACGAAGCACTTGATCTATTTTCTTTCTCTGCACACTTGAAGCACGAAGCATTTGCTCTGGTCTCTTGAAGCACGAAGCTCCTTTTCTGTTTCCTGAATTCGTTGACGCACTAAGTTCTTCTATCTGCCTATTGAAGCACGCATTTCTCCACTCTGCCATGACTATTCCTGTTTCGAAAATTGAAACCTTACTAGGTGTTTTGACTATTAAGTTGAATGAAGATAATTTTGTGAAGTGGAACTATCAGTTGGAGTCTGTTCTTCAAAGATACGACCTATACAGTCATTTTGATGGCACATCTGTGTGTCCATCAAAATATGTCATCACTGAGTCTGAAGGAGTGACCACGGAATTAACTGAGGATTATCGTCACTGGATTCAAATTGATAAATCTTTGCTTAGTTTGCTTATTGCAACTCTGTCTGATGAGGCCATAGAGTATGTCATTGGATGCAAATCTGCAAGGGATGCATGGTTAAGCCTCACAGATCGGTATGCTTCAGTCTCAAGGGCTCGAGTGAATCAACTCAAAACTGAGTTGCACACTATCCACAAGGGTGGTGATTCTGTGGAGAAGTTTTTACTTCGTCTCAAACACATTCGAGACCAATTATCTGCAGCAGGTTTTAAACTCTCTGATGATGACATCATTATTGCAGCCTTGAATGGTTTACCACAGGAGTATGATATGATCAAAACCGTGCTAATTGCCAGAGAAACACCTATTGCTCTCAAGGAGTTCAGAGCTCAATTACTGTCAGTTGAGAAAAACATTGAATCCTGAATGTTATCACTGAGTCACTCTATGACTGGTATGATGAGTGTCAGTCCATTTGAACATGGATCATCCTCTCATTCTCAAGATGCTTCTCAGTCTCAAGGTACTTCCTCTACAGTGGGTACTATCACTGCTCACTCTCAGTCTTCTTTTCCTATGGGATTTACTGGGGTAAAGGCCTCGAACAGTTCTTCGCATGGATCTTATCAGCCTTCAGACACATCTTCTGTCTCTTATCAACCTAATCACTCAGGCTCTTCCAATCACTTTGTTCCTCGTGGTAGAGGCTCCAACACTGGTCGGTTTTTTAATCACAGCAACCACAGAGGTGGTTTTTCTCCCCAGTACTCTTCTGCCCCTAGATCCCAAGCTATTCCTGAGTGTCAAATATGCAATAAAAGAGGACACACTACCCCAAATTGTTACTACAGGGTTCTAGATGCCTCTTCCCCACCTATTCTTGAGTTCCAAATCTGCGGAAAGAAAGGACATATCGCTTTGAACTGCTATCACAGAGCCAATTTTGCTTATCAAGGCACTCCTCCTCCACAGTCCCTTCAGGCTATGACTGCTAATCTTTCCTCTCCTTTTACTCCAAATGACCTCTGGATAGCTGACAATGGAGCGTCTCATCACATGACGCCCAATGTTCATCTATTGCAAGCATTTGCTCCTTATTCTTCTGAGGACAAGATCACTATAGGCAATGGGGAAGGTCTGCAAATAGACCATATTGGATATTACACTTTATCAGATTTACCTGGCATCTTACACTTAAACCAAGTGTATCATGTTCCTCAACTTGCAACCAATCTTCTTTCTGTTTATCAACTCTGTAAGGATAACAACTGCATTGTTGTATTTGATGAATATCACATCTATGTGCAGGACAAGCAGACCAACAAGGTTCTGTACAAAGGTCAGAGTGACAAGGGATTGTATCCAATTCCACAGATTCTTCCTCAACAGCTTCATCCTTCACTTTCCCAGTCTCACAGGTCACACTCAACTTCTTCAGAACCTATTCTAGCTAATAAAGCTGCAGTCAACGATAAGGATGCAGTCATCAATAAAGTTCAAAACAAGCTGCATATAGCTTCACTAGCAGATTCAAGGTCTCTCACACTATTAGGCCAACACATCAAGACCAAGCTGTGGCATCTTCAACTAGGCCATGTTTCCAATGATGTTCTTCATCACATGTTAAAGATGTCTCATATTCCCTTGTCGGTAGATTCCATTCCTGAGATGTGTGATTCATGTTTACAAGGAAAGATGCACAAGCTGCCATTTCGTTCCTCTTCTATCACTAGTCTTAAACCATTTTCTAAGTTGCACACAGACGTTTGAGGTCCTTCAGCTATTGCAGCTCTAGGGGATTATAGATATTTCCTCACAATTATCGATGATTGTACACGTTACATGTGGGTATTTCCCTTGATTAATAAATCAGAAGTTGCCTCTGTTTTCATACGGTTTCATGCATATATTGTGACGCATTATCAGGCCCAAGTTCAGTTTTTACAATCCGATGGTGGGGGTGAATACATTAGTCGATTGTTTAAAGATTTTCTAGCCTCTAAAGGCATTCTGCATCAGCTCTCTTGTCCCTACACCCCACAGCAAAATGGATTAGCCGAACGCAAGAATACACACCTCATTGAGACTACTCTTGCTTTACTCACTGCAGCAGGATTATCACTTCCCTTTTGGTATTATGTTGTGGCTCATGCCACCTTTTTTATCAATCGCATGCCAAGTAAGGTTCTCACTATGCTTTCTCCTTATTATAAACTCTTTGGTACTCATCCAGATCTACTTTCTCTCAAAGTCTTTGGATCAACAGTTTATCCTTTACTTCGCCCATATAATACTCACAAACTCGAACCACGATCTCATCAGCATGTGTTCTTAGGATACTCCATGGGGTATAAAGGTGTTTTATGTTATGATCTGCAAAATCAGAAGATTCTTATTTCTCGGCATGTTATACATAATGAAGACATATTTCCTTTTAAGAATACTCAATGCTCATCCTCAGCTTCAGCTTCACAAACCATCTCTGCTCAGAAGTCACCCGTTGCTATTGTTATGACATTTATGCCACAAGCCCAGCCTTCTCATTCCTCGTCTACCACATCAGGTTCAAATCCCAGCCATAATGATCAGATGATTCCTATTTTTACAGATGCACAGTTAGAGGTGCTTCTTCCTCTTCCCACTTCATCTTCACATATACAGTGTGCACCACAGTCTGCAAATCCCAGGAACACTCATTCTATGCAAACTCGGTCCAAATCTGGTGTTGTGCAAACTAAGTCTTTTCCAGAGTTCTCTAGTTTTCATACTCAGCTAGCTACCATTACAGAACCAGATACTCCCTCACATTTTAGGCAAGCTATTGGTCACCCAGCTTGGCAACAAGCTATGAGCGAAGAAATTCAAGCTCTTGATCAGCAAGGTACCTGGACCCTTGTTCCTCCTCCTCCAGATACAAACATTGTCGGCTGTAAATGGATTTTTAAAATAAAAAGGCATGCAGATGACACTATCTCCCGCTATAAAGCCAGATTGGTTGCTCAGGGATTCAGTCAAGAATATGGCTTGGATTATGATGAAACCTTCAGTCCTGTGGTACGCCACACAACAGTTCGTCTCATTCTCAGCTTAGCTGTAAACTTTCAGTGGGAATTACGACAGTTGGATGTGAAAAATGCCTTCCTTCACGGTGATCTTCAAGAAGAGGTGTTTATGAAACAACCCCAGGGGTTTATCGACTCTCAATATCCTGATTATGTATGCAAACTTCAAAAATCTCTTTACGGATTAAAACAAGCGCCTCGAGCATGGAATGCTAAGTTTACAGGTTATTTACCCACCTTAAGGTTCTCTGTCTCTCATTCTGATTCTAGCTTGTTTGTGAAGAAAACTGGCTCTGATGTTGTCATTTTATTACTATATGTCGATGACATTATCATCACAGGTTCAAATCCCACATTAGTGACCTCTGTTATTCATGCACTTGGTGAAGTGTTTGAACTTAAGGATTTGGGCAAGCTTCGTTATTTTCTCGGCCTTGAGGTACACTATCAGCCAGGAGGTATGATCTTTATTAATCAACACAAGTATGCTAAAGATCTCATAAAAAAGGCATCTATGGACACATGTAGGCCTTGTAGCACTCCTTCTAAACCACATCATCAAGTCTTAAGGGATGAAGGTATCCCTCTTTCTGATCCTACACACTTTCGAAGCCTTGTAGGTGCTTTGCAATACTTGACGTTCACAAGACCCGACATTGCTTTTGCTGTTAACACAGTCTGTCAATTTATGCACAGTCCCACAGATGTTCACTTTGGTCTCGTTAAACGCATCCTCAGATATTTGCAAGGAACATTGCAGTTTGGTGTCACGTTTTCTCCAGGGACTATGGTCTTATTTGGATATTGTGATGCGGATTGGGCTGGTGATCCCAATACACGCAGATCCATTACTGGTTATGCTGTGTTTCTTGGTTCCAATCCGATCTCCTGGTCCTCCAAAAAGCAAGCCTCTGTCTCTCGCAGCTTTACGGAAGCCGAATATCGAGCGCTTGCACATTGTGCTGCAGAAATCTCATGGATTAGGCAAGTCCTGTGTGATTTGCATATGATAATTCCTAAAGCACCTTTGCTTCACAGTGATAACTTGTCTGCTCTAGCCCTCAGTGCCAACCCCGAATTCCATTATCGCATTAAGCATTTGGATGTGGACTTTCACTTCATTCGAGAACGTGTTCAAAATAAAGATCTTCTTGTTCAATATGTTCCTACTGATGAACAGGTTGCTGACATCCTGACCAAAGGGCTTCACAGCCCAATATTCACTAAACATTGCTCCAACCTCAGCCTTGGCTCTCCCCCAGCTGTGCTTGAGGGGGGGTGTTAACAGTATTGTTACTGAGAAAGAGTAGTCACATGTTTAGCACGTGAGTGTTAGTTAGAATACTTAGAGGAGAAGAAAGTTAGTTAGTTATATAAAGATGAGCTTAGGCTCTGCTTAAGAAAAAGGTTGCATTGTAACATATTTGAGATAACAGAAATAAACAGAGCTCTTTTCTTCCTCTCTCTCCCTTTGCTTTCTCTGTCTGAACTCAAACCCTAGATTCTATTTCTCCATGGTTATCATGTTGTTCTTCAAGTGGATGCGTGTTTTGTGTTGACATTTTTGACAGCTCTGAAAATGGTTGGAGGTGATTTTCTTATGTTGAACAAAGATTGTATGAGCTTGGCATGAGAGCATGGAGTGTTTCAGATCTGGAATAGGGCTTTCTGTGAAGAGAGAGAGAGAGAAAGAAAGAAAGAAGAACAAGGTGGAAATGATGGTGCTTGGGCTTGATGTTTCCAACAATTGGAGGGAGAGAGAGAGAGAGAGAGAGAGAGAGAGAGAGAGAGAGAGAAGAAAGAAAGAAGAATAAGGTGGAAATGATGGTGCTTGGGCTTGATGTTTCCAACAATTGGAGGAGAGGCTTGCACGCTTTTCGTTAGTTGGTTCTGTTGGTTAGGTGCTGGAAACCCTATTCTTCCCCAAAAAACCTAGTTGGGTTATCCCTCTTTGGCCAAGTCATTTCCTCCATTTTCTTATCTCTTTCTCACACTTAGCCATTTCGAGCGAAATTCCCTAAAATAAGCTTAGCCCATGGTTATTGAGACAAAACATTTTGGTGCCCCAAAACCTTCCTGCAGTTAGACCTTGCAAAGGCTTCCTTTTCAGGCAACACTCCGGCTTGGTTTTCCTTTCTCTTTTCCTATGTGAGCTCTATGGGTAAAGCTAGGTAAAGGCATTGGTCAAATAGAAAGGTTAAGGCTTATGACAGGTTGAGGCTTATCTCTTCCAGCAGCCTATATATCCATGTAAATTGGAGTTTAAGGGTTTCAATTTGAATTGGCTGATCCTGGTTCGATCTCAAGCGAAATGGTGCTGGAATTTCTCTATTGATTACCCATGTGTTGAGCTTAAGAAAGTGGGCTTGGGTTTTGGTGCTCCCAAGAACCCCAAAACCTCCACCTTTTGAACCATCAATGGGCCTTATGGACCCTCGTACCCATCCACACCACAACCCGCTCAGCAAGGCATATGCATGTATGTGGTTTGGGCCCACTTAAGAAATAATCTTAGCCTCTCACCATCTTGCATTTTTGTTACAACAAGTAAGAAATAATCTTAGCCTTTCACCTTCTTTCATAGTTAGTAAAATACGAATAAAACACATACGTGTTTTATTCTGCAAGATTTTGGGAAGTTAGAACATAACTGAAAAGCTCGGCCACTATATAATATTAATATAACTTATTTAAATTTTTTAATATATATTATTTTTCTTCTTATATGTGAAAATTATGTGTATAATACATGAATTTTGTGTGTACTATTGAAAATTTGTACAAAAAATACGCATATTAAACATGATAAATATGTATGTACGTGTATTGTATGTTTGCTTTAAAAAAATCATGTGTTTTACGAAGTCTTTAAGACGTGTACAAAAAACAAAAGTATTATTGAAAAATATGTATGACCATGTATAATACGAGTATGAGTATTAACGTCAAAATGCTAAATGCTTTATATGGGTAATAACTGTGGAAATGTAAAAAAATCAAAAAGGCAAAATAGAGA